AAAAAAAAAGAGAGATTTACTTGCTCTATAAGATAAAAGAATTAATTGATCTTGATAATAATATTAATCTAAATTGCTAGAATTTTCTGTAATCAATATAATTATGAAAATATTTTATACATTATTTAACATCTTTTTTTTATTCCCAAAAAATTTAACCAAAAATTTAGCAATGAATACTTTTTTAATTCATTGAAATGTTAAATTTCAACTATCCTATTTGCTATTCTAATGTCCCAAAATTCATTCATTCTGATAACTTAGAAATGATATGATAAAAATTTAACAGATATTTTTGAAATTTTAACCTCATTTGCATGCTTTATAAATGAATGGAATATAGCAGTTAATAGTAAAAATAAAAAAGCTTAAATAATTTATTTATTTATTTTTTTTTTGCTACTGTTAAATGGTATTAAAAAAAAAAAAAAGAAATTTAATATTTTTAGTATTTTAATCTTTTAACAATTATGTCGAAAAATAATAAATAAATTAAATTTCAATTTTATTCAAAAAAGAAAAGCTTAATTATTCAATTTTATAAGTATCATTTGTACAGCATTTCCTGTAATTCTCAGAGGTTATAGGAAGGTAAACATTTTTTTTTTTTTTAATTTAGAAAAAAAAAGATCAATTCGAAAATATAATCAAGATTTCATAGAATGATTAGTTATCAGTAAGCCAGATAAAAATTACTTATCATTGTGATATTACTTTAAAAAAAAAAAAGAAAAATTGATAACCTGTGATAAATGTCCATTATGATAAGAATTTTGTAGCAATTTTGCTGCAGCACTTTTACCATTCAATGTGGTACCATGTCTGGATGATTCTTTTGCTAATGCAGCAGCAGCAGCTGCAGCACCTGCAGCACCTGGTCCGGCATACATTGATGCCGGTCCAGCAACAATATTTCCGGTTCCCGTATGATGTGATACTAATGCCATCCCTTCTAATACTCCTGCAAAAATGACCGCTACTGTATAAACGAATGACCACTACGCAATACAAATAAATGAAAAGATGGGATGAAAGGATGAAAGATGCGCAAATGTATTGTGGACGATGAATTAAGCGAAATCTTTTTTTTTTTTTTTCAGTAGTCTACTTATCGTCTTATCAGTCTTTATTATTATTTCCTTTCCCGAAATGTAACAATATGATAATGAGGATGAAATTTCCTAATACTATCGATGTTTTTCCTCTCTTCCTGGGAAAAAAAAAAAAAATTCCTAATACTATCATATCATAATTCTTTTACAATAGAATATGATAAATGACCCCTTATCATTTCATTTTTAAAATGTTAAAGAGAATGAAATTTTTTAAAATTATCACTTATAAATGGTATAAATATCACAATTATATCTATTCGTCTTGTTAATACAACTTTTCCAAATTCAAATTATCCTAGATTCTTGGAAAATTATATCGTTTAACCTTGACCTGCCCAATATAATCCCTATATAATTCCTCTTGGCTAGATTAAAATATTTATATCCTCTTTTAAGAAGGATATAAATATTTTAATCTCTTTAAATCTATCATTTTTTTTCTTTTTTTTTGGTCACTGATGACCTTTGTTGACAAAAATTTTGCATTCATCTAAAGCATTAATTAATAGAAACCTGAAATGACTGAAGTATTTTTTGGTCTGTTTGATTGTTTGATGATTAGTTGAATTGAACAAGGAAGTAGCTCCTTTTAGCTAGATTAAAGCATTTATGTCATCCTCCTTGATTCA